CTGTCTTCACAGGGCACGTGGATTCCTGAGAGCAGGACAGTGGCATGTATTCATAATGTTCACAACTGTGTGGTTTATAAATACAGGCAATGTAATAAGTCTCACTAGAAAACTAAAATGTAAGAAATTAAGATAAAACAGATATCGAGGTCAAAACCAGAGTAGGTTTTACTAAATTTTACCCATCTTCTCTCTCAATTTTCAATATAAACCCTGATGAAAATCATAGCCTTTGCAGAAATGAATGTTCATAGGACTGTAAAGCAGTTGACATAAGCACCTCATATATATGCAGTTTAAAAAAATTATCCTTTATGTCTGAATGTTTCAATTACTGGTTTCTACACAAAAGACAATTATTTACTTTTAGAAAGTTCAAGGACAAACCCTTCAAGTGGATAGGTTATGTAAAGGGGAGGGAGGGGGAGAAGTATTTTCCTCATGCCTGAAGAAATTACATTTTAGTAATTTTGGACAGTCTACCTCAAAAGGAACAGAAATTTGAAACATTGTTAGGGGTATGACAGTCCCAGGCCAGCTGTTTGTCGCTTCCTGGCAGCCAAATAAGGGTTGTGGTGCCACTTTAAAAGGGCTCCCCCAAGCAAGAAGGGGGAAAGAAAAGAGTGAAGGATAGGAAGTGCTGTGTGAGCATGAGCAGGTACCAAAGGAAGGTACTAGAAGGGATTGTTTGGCTAAGTGGCCCAGGGAAGAGCTGCCAGATTGAGAGAGGCAGTAGCTCTGCCTGTTGTTACTGCTTTAGGGCCCCTGAGTGGAAACCCAGACTAGTGGGTGGGCCTGGGGTCCCCTCCCCCTGACCTCACCACAACATCTCAACCTGTGTTTTGAGAAGGGAGATCAGGACTCCAGTGGAGATTTTACTCTAACTTATGAACTAGCCTGTGATGGGTATGGCTCAGTAAGCAATGGTTCCTGCCTCTAGTGAAGAGAAAGAGGCTGTGTGGAGGGCTACAGTGAGCCTCCAAGGATCCCTGTTCACCAGTAGTGCGAGACCCATGGGGAATAGCTGGAGTTTGCCAGTGGCCATTAATGAAGACTGTTAATGACAGTACAGTTGAAAAATATTAGCTTTATTTTTAAAAAGAATGTCTGTTAAAGGACTGACCAGCTGGTGACAACTTAACTTATTGGCTTTAGCATATGCAGTGATGGCACTTCTGTTCCTATCCCCCAGCAGTGCAATCAATATCATTTCTCTGCACAGAGGGGTGAATTGTACATTCATGGGGACTTCCTATGCTGCACAGGACAGTGTCTGGGAGCTAAGAGTCCAGAACTGAGTCTGCAGTTGTACAAATCTTCCAGTCCGATGAACAAGGATATGCTAAAGCTGTGAGGACTACTTGAGCCACTAAACTGAAGCTGCCTGATTGGAGCAAAAGTGCTTCACTGTCCAGAGGGAAGAGAAAAGGTGAGCAGCTATTCTCCCAACTCCTCTCAGGCCAGTTCTAAATAGTGTTCCTTTTAATCTGTGTGCATGTGTGGCCGCTCAGGAGATTAAAATGCCTGCCCTGCTGATTAGCAGAGTGCACACAGCTAGACTTTTGTTTCTACTGGTGTTGTACATTTGCACGTCTTGGTGTGCATAACTTTTTATTCTGCACATGGAGGGGAAAAATCCACATGTGGTTGTCCTTGCTTTGGGGTTTTGTTTTTGATATGTATATATATATATCAAAGTGTGTGTGTGTGTGTATATATAGATATATATAATATATATACATAAATATATAATTAGAATTGTGAATGACTAGTCAACTATCTGACTAGCAAATGCTTATTGGACAGTTGACACTAGTCAACTAGTCACTTCTACCGCCTTGCTGCCTCTCCCCATTTTTATCTTAGAAATATCAACAATGGTCATTCTTGGTTTTTCTAGAGAACATATTGGATAGCTACAAAAACTGAGCTGTCACACTTGGGGGCTGTCTACACTGCACTGGTTTTGCACAAGAAATATGCAAATGAGGCTAAGCATGGAATATTGCCATACCTCATTTGCATACCTAATGAGCTGCCACTTTTGCATCACGGGTTTTTGCACAAGGAGCTGTCTACATTGCCCCTTCTTGCGCAAAAAAACCCCTCTTGCGCAGAGCCGTTCTTCCTGAAAATAAGCAGCGGAACAGCTTTGCGCAAGAAGGGGAGTGTAGACAGCGCCTTGTTGTAAAGCAGGCTTTTTCTGTCCGTGGCCTTTGCGTAAAGCCCATCCTGCCACACAAAGCCCCTCACAGAAAACCCAGACTGTGAGATATTCAGAGAAGCATAGGAAGCACAATGCAGCTTTCTGTAAAACGGAATTTGGCCTTGTAGGCATCATAGAACAGGGAGGTGAGCATGAAAAAATAGAACACAAGCTGCAAGAGATAAATAAGACTCTCTTGACCAGTCCTTGAAAGCAGGGAGGTAGGCATAGGGAAATAAGACGCAACTGCCATGCACACTAACCATGCCCACACCCAGCACTGTCCACGGGGCCATCAGGCGGGCATCATGAAAAATCCTATAGGGCAGTATTTCACATTACCTCATTACCAGCCTATCAGGCCCGTCCAAAGAACTAACCCTAATAAGGTACCGGATATCAGGTTATGTTATAAAAGACCCTCAACCCCTTTGTTCGACGGAGGTTCCGTGTATTGAGGGCACGTGTCTTTTTTTTTTGCCCGGCTAAAGGATTGATCACCCTGAGGCTGCCTCCCCACCCTTCGAGTCAAATATAGGGGTGCACGAGTCCTGAGCATGCTTCGAGTTCTAGTGTCTCTTTGTGTTGTTATCGATGCTGGATTTGTAAGTATTGCTTAAATGTATTAGTTATTGGTTTAATTAATAGTTAAATTGTGTTAATTTCACTGTGTAATTCTGTAAAGTGTATCTAAGTTCTGTTAACCACACTGTGTAAATCGTATAATTTTGTGTTGTGTAGTAGTGTTGTGTTTAGGTTAAGTATAACTGTTAGAAATAGAAGTCCAGGAGTTATTAAGTTGTAAAAGTAGATTTATGACTAACTCCACCAGCTGCCCTAAAATAACCATAGGGAGGCTGGCTTTAGACGGAGTTTTTATTATCATTATATTGTCTTTGTTTTTGTATTTTTTGTTAAGCAAATTAGAAACAGTGATTTAGTATAGTTGAATTGTAATAAAAAAAGTTTGTAATTAGTTAAGTACAGCTAAGTTTAAGGTTTTCTACCCTGTAAAAGCATTAGGCAATTGTTAGTTAAAAAGACCATTTTCTAATCGTTGGTTTTGATAAAAGAATCATTCCACTTAATAAAAAGCATTTGTTTTACACCATCATCCAGTAGTTTTCACTGGGTAATCGGCTTTAACCCTTCAGGCTTCCACCACATCACCGAACCAAGGTGTAACACTCCTTACGCAAAAGCCCGTGATGCAAAAATGGCAGCTCATTAGGTATGCAAATGAGGCATGGCAATATTCCACGCTTTGCCTCATTTGCATATTTCTTGCACAAAACCTATGCAGTGTAGATCTAGCCTTAGGGGAGAGGTGTCAAAACTAAACCCAGTTTCTCTTTTCACATAGTTATTCACAATTTTTATATAAATGTATTAATAAACACTACCAAGACCCAATATTTTAAAGTGACTTTTTGCCCTCAATTGCTCACTTTCACTCAAGTCTCATGTCATTTGGACAAGTTCTTCAGTTATCAGTGTTGTTTTACAGTAGCAATATCCATTTTGCTAGTATAAAACAGTATTCAGGTCTGTTATAAGCCATATAGAACTTTTTTTTGCTCCTTTGCAAAATACCTCAAAGAGGTCGTAGAAGGGCACTCGCACAAAATAGTGTTCTCTCCTCAGTTCTCAAATTTAGTAGCAAGGCACTGAAAGGATTTTTATTACTTTGTCTAACAGTAGGTATGTAAGCAACTGGTTGCTTCCCACACCCCCCTTGGTGCCTGTTCTAGTCAACAGAATAAACCGGCTTTAGACAGGGTACTCTATTGTGGTTGGGAGTGTAAAGAATTCACTTCCAAACTTGAGGACAGGGTTCATAGCTGCAGCCATTATTTTGCCCCAACTTAATGGTGACCACTCTCCTTGACCCAGGGTTCCTGGCCATTTGATCCATGTATATATGGAACTATTGGTACCTTCCAATACTCCATTTTACAGGGGCCTGTTCACATTCAATAGAGCTCATCTCTCTAGCATAGAGGTGGTGCAGAGGGAATCCATGGTATCTCCTTCATTAAGAGATATCATGGAGGACATCCCTTCACCAATGGGTGAATTTCACTCTGGTGAAGTTCTATTATCCTTTCAAAAAGATCACTTACCATACCAAATACTGATACCTGGGGGCAAGTATTTTAGTTTTTCCTTCGAAGTTTTATACTTGTTCATGATACTCAATACCACTTGGTAAAGAGAGTTTTCTATGTAGATAAATGTGGATTAGGTGCTGGTGCTAAAGAAATGTTTTGTTCCAAATTTTTAGATCTCTGCAAACAAAAGCATGCAGGGACCTGTGAGCCTAATTTGTACACGCAATTACTACACTTGTATAGACAGTTGAGTAAAATGGACAAACATGACTAGTTAAACACCTACCTTTCACAAACTGCATAAATTTGAAAATGGAGGCTATACTGGCTTGTGATTGGATCACAAATAATTAAGAATAGGGATCTTCAGGACTTAATGCATACCTGCATCACCGGGGGAGGAGAGGTACAAAACAATTTAGAGGAAAAAATGATTTTTACTGAACCTTCTTTATACATTTTATCTTATTATAAAGTTTTATGGTGAATGGAAACAACTAATATTTTTAGAGCCTAAAGGTAAAAAGTCCTATAATTGAATAGCAAAGTAGTTTCAAACATTGTGTGCAATTGGCCTGGATCCTGTAAATGAGATGTTCATGGATGGACCCAAGTCATTTCAGACTTCACTGGGCTTGCCCATCTTTGTGCATTGCAGAATCAGAGCTTTAGAGTGCACCAAATGAAAGAATACAAATATAGACAATTTATTAGAATTGTGTTGTAGAGACAAGACAAGCCAAGTCACATCTAACAGCAGTTATATTAAAGTTTAATTAAAAACTGATTAATATTATTTCTTCTGAACACTTTTAAACTCAGTCAAATGTTGAAATAAATACAACAGACTTCCCAGTGATAAAATGCTGCTTTGAAATTGTTTATATTGTAAATCTCAAGTATAGAGAGCTCTACTCCAGTATAATTAGCATTGCCTTCTGGTGTATTTTTTTTAAGCTATACCCCTAGATCAAATGTTTATATATGCCAAAGTAAAAGGCAGCAACAAATAAAATAAAGCGTTATTTCATTCCTTGTTTGCTTTGGCCCCCTCCCTAATTTTTCTAATGAATGTATTTTTATTGGTACCAGTTATATACTCTATTATAATTAAGTATTTTTACATATAATTTGATAATTATTGTTTATAGCCAATTCTTTTCAGAGACTGACAGTTGTCTCAATATTTAACATTCTTAGAACAGCAGCATCCTCTGGCTTTCCTCCTCCACTAGAGTTGACAGTCTCAAACCTATTGTGGAGTGTAGTCTACCACCTGTAGGTCATCAGCGAAACACAGATAATATGGAACTATACTGTCTATACTTAATTCAACAGCTTCTAGAACAAATACAGCTTTTGTATTGATAACTGTGGGTTAGAGCCTTTCCCCAATGAAGTAAACAGAAGTCTATTGATTAGTGAGACATGAACTTGGTTCTATGTTGCCATGGGTTTGTGTTGTATGGGTTTCTCTTTTTAAAATAAAAGATTAAATAGTAAGATTGATTAGATAGAAACAGGAGATGCTTTAAAACAGAAATATGGAGATACAGAAATGTGGACTACTAGTTTGGGTTTTTCCCCCCATCCCTCATGTCTAATAACAAGTTTACCAAAAAACAAAACCCCAAACACCAATAGACACCTGTAAGCATTTGTATTAGGAAAGTCCTAAACAACCTAATGTTGTATCATTTTATACTGTCTTACTTTTCCTCAGGACCTCTGTAAGGTTTTTAGAAATAGTCTCTGAAATGTTTATACAGACTTTTGTTGGGGAGAGAGACTGCTATTGGTACAACGGTCTACAAACCACAAGGCAAAGATAAGAGAAATCCTATTTTTTTCTGTCCTTATTTTCCTCTTTTTTAAAGCCATCTGGAAATTTCGACATGAATAAGATTAATTTCTAATAAGCATGCAATTAAGCTTTATTCAAAAGATCAAATTGTGTATTAATACAGCATGTTTGACTTCAGTATTAGTCTAGCATAAAAACAAAATATTTTGCCAAAATAAACTGAAAGATTCTGCTGTACACAGAAAGATGCTAATCTGTACACTTTATAGTTTACACATTTCAACAAAAATGAATAGCACAGAACCTAAACAGGTGTGGTCTAATTTATTAACACTTTATTATTCATAGAAAAAGTAGTACTGTGTCAGTTTCATTATTATACATTGTTCTTAAATATACTCATTCATTTAATTTGAAAAGAATATCCTATAATACAGCATATCTGCTTTATTAATGTTAGTTCACTTGACCACAAATACGCAATTAATTTCCTGGTTACTAGGCAAATCAGCAAGCTTCTACAACTGTATATAATTTCACTCAGGAGAATGCGACATTTTAAATAAGAGCTTGCCCCCTAAGTTAATTCTTATCATGTAGTCGCAAATAAAGTGAACAGTCCTTTTAAGAAAGACACTATTTCATTGCCTCCCAGTTTAGATTCTCCATAGACACGGTCCACAAATGAGATAGGAACCTGTTAAAGAACAAAACAAAACAGAGAATTCTAATTATTTTAGGAATGTAACTTCATTATATAAAAAGAAAACAGCTTTAAAATCTATTACACATTTTATATTAAATTTAGCACCATGTGCATGTTTAGAACATAGCATATCATTAAAAATGTGAAACTATTACAGACTTAAATATATTGTTTGCTGACTGTATTATATGTGGAGATGAGAATGAGAGACTGGTTCCTCAGGTTGGCAGAGACTTAGCAACACCACCTATAGTCTCCAAAAATTGGTAAAATCCATATGGGTGGTTCCTAACTTGTTGTGGAAGCCTCTGCTAGCAACTGATTTGTGGATGAATGCCTTCTTCTGATGTCCCTGAAGGTGGTGCCAGGTGTAGTTATGTCTGATCTCACTGTGGGTTTTTTTTGTCTTCTATTTTTTTTGTTCCTTATTGTGTGGTTTTTTGTTTTTTTTTAAATCCCTGTCACCAGAAAACTATATACAGTAAACTTCTGATAATCCGGCACCTTTAGGACCCAGGGGGTGCCGGATTATCAGATATGCCGGACTATCAGAAGGGGGGGCTATGAGGGGTCTGGAGTGGGGTGGGAGGGGATACCACCCCAGACCCCTCATAGCCCCCCCTTACGATAGTCCCACTCTGCCCCAGGCATCCCCGATTCAGCCGCTGCTGGTCAGTTTCTGTGACATAAGAGCCTCGGTAGTAACCAGTCTTTATATATATGCCTACAGAATGTATGGCAATGTTGGGGAGTTATTATAGGGGATGTGTAGAATTCAAGGAATTGGGGTGATAGAAAAACAGGGAGATCACACATTCTATTAAGGAAGTTCCTTGCCCTTCATCAAGGAAATGAAAATATTAGACAGCTGAAAAAGAAGGATCTGGAGAGAGAAGCCATTGATTTCAATGGCTTGTTTGAGAGATGGAGACCAACCCGGCAGCACCCCAGCTGCTCTGCTCCCGGTTCCCCGATTCAGCTGCTGGTCAGTTTCAGCAGCAGCTGAATGGGGGAAGCCTGTCCGGCTGCCCCAGCACTTCCGGGTTCCTGATGGTGCCGGACCATCAGGAGTCCCGGAGCATTGGATGCCGGACTAATGGAGTTTTACTGTACTGCTCAGGATGGATGTCCATTAGCAGCCTCATACACATCCATGCTGCCTGTGCTCTCAGGTGCAAAAGGAGAAGAAGAAAAGAGCAGCTTAGGTTTGCGAGCTGCTGAGCCTAAACTTACAAGCCTGACAAAGTGAGGCTCACTGATAACTTCAGTAAAAGCTGCCACAGGAACAGAGAGGGGCTCAGAGGAATGCACAGCACTTTACCTATAGCTATAAGAGCATGCTTGTAAGGGACAGGGGGCAAATATCTGAGATTGTGCTGCTTTCTTTATCCTCACTGTTCCACCCCACAGTCTTAATGGTGTCTCAAGGCTCAGACACTAAAGGTTAGGGTTGACCACACTTAGAGATAGGTCTAAATATATTAATCTTATTAGCCAATGAGTGTTCTGAGCAAACTATTCTCGAAGGTAGGATTGGTGAACTTGACACCCAAAGGCTCAGAACATTCTGTGAAATCTCTATTAACCTCCTTCTCTAAATTTCTACTGGGGGAGGCAAAAGTCCATTGGGGTACTTTAGGGAGAGACTGCCATAATCAGAAATGGCAGAGTTAAACAAGTTCTTCCATGGTGAACCAACATCAATTCCTCACCATTAGAAAGGACATCATGAAATGATCTTCTGCTCAGCTACGCTGACATAGCAGAGCTGTGTACAGTACTTGTATTCAATGCACATTTGGTATGCAACATCCACTTGAGTCTATGGATCTTCAAGCTGTTTGTTATTCTTAGAAAAAAGGTTGCTTTTGCCAACATATTGTCCAAATTTACTTGCAGATCATGAAAGGTTAAACAAATTGTACTTCTGTCTGTCCATTATTTTGCCAGAACATTCAAGGAAGATCAAAGACTGAGTAGGCTCAATACTCAGTGAGGAAGGAATGACAGTAACAGGAAAAAAAATGCAGCAATGGCAGAAATCTTAACTGCCTTTGTTTCAGTTTGCTCCAAAAAGGTTAGCAGTGATGGCATGACTAATATAGTGGACATCCATGTAACTGGGATAGGATTGTGGAATCTCCATCTCTGGTGATATTTAAGAGCAGGTTAGATAGAGGTTTATCTGGGATGGTCTAGACCAGAGGTGTCCAACCCATTCTGGGCAAAGAGCCAAGATAGGAGTGGATCCAGCGCGAAGAGCGGGGGCAAAGTTGTCGAGGAGAGAAAAAGCACCCCTCCCATCGTGTTTGGTTGAGCAAAAAAACACCTCGAAAAAAAGGCCCTGCTCCTTTCCGCTTTAAGAAAACACACAAACGCATTTTGAGGCTTTTTGGCCACAGTAGGCTCCCAGCAACTGCTGCCATCTTTATTCTGCAGCTTTCATGGCCGTGCTGGACAGCTCCCCCTGCCCAGGTCAGCACAAGGAACTGGGAGGAGAGGGCAGTTTGGGGG